TACTTTATTTTTCACGCGGGGTTTTCGCTAATTATTTTTTTACATCTTCATAAGAAAAAAATATGTGATCAATTAAAGAAGAAAATATTATAAATCATTAAAATTTATTCACCATTTCCAGAAAATTAATATTAGCAGAAGAGTCTCATAACGACATGAATACACGTCTGACGTGATCAGTCAGGAAATAGATTATTTAACTGATAGCTAGGTAGTCTCAAAATGGTAACCTTTTTCCCATACTAAATCCAAATAATTTAAAGATAGGATTGTAATTATATCAATGTACATAATGCACAACCTCAATCCCACGCTCAAATTAGGAGCGGTATTAAATTTAACAGTGGTATAGCCACGCAACAGCTTTGCTGTTGCACGTACGGGCCGGCTCAAACCGGGGTGGTACAGTGATCTCACAGAATAACGGCGTTAAGTGGAAGCTTAGCTTCTGCGTTTCGTCTGGTGACTGCAGGGGGCCGGAGGCCCAATTCCTCCCACCCCCTCCCTTAACATGGTAGCGGAATTAAGTAAAGATCTCCCCAAGAGGGTACCAGCACCCCTGGAGAATACCACGCTGAGCATCCACGACCAAGCTACTCCACTCCTGAGCATGGGTGCTCAGGCTGTCCCACGTATTCTGGGGGGGGGGGGCGAAATTCCGCTCAAGACTACAAATGCTCGGGGCAAACGGAGCAACAAGACCAAGGCGACCCCTGCTACGCTATTTCTGACCGAGACGCAGGTGGCCTCTCCGGCTCATGTCTCGTATCTCTCCTAATACAAACTACACTCCTTTGTGCCTCGGGCTGGAGTTTGCGTTTACGCCAGAGAGAACATCTGTTCTCGACGCCTCGGCAGTCTTGAAGGTTCGGATCTGTCCATCCTTTGGCTACGCGTAGACAGCGACGACCATCCGCGCGTCTATGGGTGCCTGTATAGGTCCCATAGCGGTAATGCCGAAACAGACCGACTCTTCGACCACGTCCAAATGGCTACAGATACGTTGTTACAGCGGATCCCCTACGCAGAGATCGTGATCGTCAGCTGTTTCAACGCCCATCACGCCGAATGACTTGGTTCACGTTTTAACCGATCATGCGGGAAATCTGTTCATGATTTTGCCTTGACATGTATCTGACACAACTGATTACTTCGCCTACGCGGATTCCAGATGTGTTCCGTGATTCCAGTGTTGGACCTTCTGCTGACCTCTCATCCAGACGGATATCAGATTTGCGTCGACCTTTTTAGGCTCCTTGGACCATTGTTTTGTCCGGAGAGTGGTGCCACTCACGCTGAAATCCCGGTTGAATTCGCAGGCTGCCACCGTTTTTGGCACTATAGGTCAGCCGATTGGGATAGAGTACGGTTTTTCTTTCCATCCTACCCTTGGGGGCGGGTTTGCTTCTCGCCGGACGACCCCAACGTTGTTGCTTATTTTGTCGCTGATGTGGTACTTCAGGATATGGAACTTTTTATTCCTTCCTCTGTGATACCCATCGGAGGCAAATCTCAGCTATGGTTTAGTCGCTCCCGTAAAATAGCATCATGCTATAAGCAGGAGTGCTACCAAGCCTGGGCTGACACATCAACGTCCCAGAATGTAAATACCAGCGCTCTAAAAAAGGAGTATAATTCCGTCTCCAGGTCCTTCAAAAGAGTCATTGCCGAGGCAAAGTCGGAGCACATAGGCAGAATTGGCGAGAAACTAGTTCGCCTTTCTTATGGAACCCGTGCATTCTCAGGCATATTTTGCAACTAGTTTGGAGACTGATTTTTCACTAAATTAATAAATATATTTCACTATAACTATTTAAAGTATTTAATTTTATTGTATGTGTAACAGCGAGTGTCACTATAAAATGACCAAATATCTTATTATATCCAAACCCGCAAATGATTGACGTAACATTTGACGAATACTGTTAGGTAAATACCGCCAATGTGCATTATTTTTAAATATATTAACTTAAGTTATACAGTTATGGCGTTGGCACCTAAAATTGATAGTATTAATGCTTGAAAACCACATTGGAGTAAAAACTAAACCATACATTATAGATAAATGAGTTTTTGTCATTCCTGTAAAGTGACCCATTTACGCATTCGCTGCACTGAATACCGAACGATATGCAGTTTGGCAGCACAGTTTTTTTACTTTCTGGTTTTTATTAGTAAGACGCTTATGCCAATCTCCTGGATTATTTCTCTCAACTGTGTCTTACTGTGTAATGGTAGTATAAGAATATCCACTACCCAATATCATCTCTTGGGTTTCGTAGGAGTAGTAGTTATCGGATTGGAGGCGACTAAATCTAGTCCAGTTCAATCCCCAGAAGACACAAGTTTGCGCTTTTACCACTAAAAAGAACCCATTTGTCGTATCTCCTTAGTTTAGATCGAATATTTAAAATGTTATTCGTGGTAGAGCTATGCTGCAGTTATGTTAGTAGTATAGTTGTAGCACGAATGGGTCGGCTCGACCGGGGAAGGAGCACGCTCACACAGAATACCAGCGTAAAATAGTAGCTTAATGCTGCTGTGTTTCGTATGGTGAGTGTAGAGAATTGGAGACCCTTTCTACTGGAAACGAGGTATTCCATCTTAGTCCTCACGGGTAACAACGCATCGGCATTTTGATTCGTGATCGAGGATGGATGTAGATGTCTATGGGCCACAGCAACCACTTACCATCAGGTGGAATGTGTGCTCGTTAGTCACCCTATCCTATAAAAAAATGTGCAGTTTCATGGTCACGTGGAAGGGAAGGCTAAAAAAACTTGGCGTGCTCAGTAGAGCGGGACAGAATTTCATGCCGACACACCACTTGCAGCTTTACAAGGCGCAAGTTCGGCCTCACATGGAATACTGTTTTCATCTCTGGGCCGGGGCACCCCACTCCTTTCACTTGACCGCATCCGACACAGAGCGGAACGAATCGTCGACGACCGAGTTCTTTTTTGTCGGCTTGGAAGGGATGTTGCATCATCTTATATTTATCGCATCTACCACGGGGAGTGCTCTGAGGAATTGTTGTTTTTGGAGGGTAGGTGTACAATAAATAACAGCTGTTTAACTAGCTCTTATATTTTACTTAAATTTTAAATATCCATAAACATGATTTTTTCTATATAAAACTACTAAACAATCAGTGATTTGTTTTTGTATGGATGAAGCGTAAAAATATGATAATTTAGAGAACTTTTGTCTCACTTTTACCTCCCATTACTTTATTGCAATCAACTTCCTATGTTTTCAACTCACTTTGTTATAACTGTTTACCTGTAAACATAATGACAAATGTTACTAAATTGGGTCACATACAGAAGTAGTTTGAAGAATGCTGGACACGGAAGATGACAGAATTTGAAAGCATATTAAAAGCTGCGTCTACACCAACTCGTTCCACCCTTATTCTTATACGTGATGAGTTTTACTTATTCAAGAAGTTAGTAGGCTCAATGTTTAATCTTCTTCGACAACGGGTATGTGCTTATTTACAGTATATTGATGCAATTGATATGAGGCATGGACGAAAGATTTTGCTATTCAATGGTATTCCTGACACAGATGAGGTTGATGCAGATAAAGAGATCTTGTGCCTTTTACACAACAAGATATTTCATATGTGAAAAATGCTAGCATCAAGCGTTTCCACTGGACCGAGTTTAAAAAGATAATAATAATAATAAAAGGCGTAGGGAAGTGACGACCCCATCGCCCGCTGACGTAACAGTTGTATGACAAAACCGCTACGTCAGCGCAGTCAGTCAGCACCTTGCCAAAAGGTGTAAGTGCCGTACCTCGGTAAAAATTGAGGGTGCAAAGGCCCGCCTGTGCACATGGCCCCATCATGAAACGGCGCCAGGTCTGGCGTCTTTTTTTTTTTAGCCAAAACAACAATTTTAATTAATATATTTCACGTGGTTCTAACTCCCCCTAGCGTCTCCCGTTAAACGGCACCCACTTATATGGATGATGGAATACGGAAGAACGCGCAAAGGGCCGCTGCCTGGAGGTCGCCAGGGCGCGGCTGGAGCTGGCACTGGACTCGACAGCATGCGAACCACCAACCAAGCGAGAGGTGCTATACGACAACCCATCAGCTCCTCGCATCCATAATCCCCACCAGCTGGCTTGGTGTCGGCAGGGTCTTTGCGGGCCCAGTAATCGGCACCCGCCACTGATGAAGTACGCCGCATGCGATGGACAATCAAAATGAATACCAACGCACTGCGGGCGTATTTCAGGGCAAAAGGGGGAGAAGTTGGAGGTTTGGCATATCGGGCTGGCATATGCATCGTCTTTTTGCTAAGCTGGAGCCATCTATAACCGTCACAGAGCAAAACCTGGCAGACCGAGTTCGGTATATCTTGCGCTCAATTATATTTGATGTTGCCGAACTCGAACAGCTACGACGTGAGGCTGTTTCTTCATCGGGTGAAAATGCTACGGCTGAGGATGCGGCGCCACAACATGCAGAGCAAACGGCAAACGTGGATGCCGCCGTGAATACCACAGTTGTGGTTGATTCAAACGATGATGGAATAATCGCCCAGGAACTGGAACTAGAGCAAATGAGAAGTACATTGGAAGAGGCGATTGTGGAAAAGCGCAGTACGCCTCTCGAAAATCGACCGCGACTTCACCGCATAGCCCTAAGCAAGCGGAATCGGGCTGTTGTGAGGGCTCTGAACCCAATGCTGATGACCTATTTGGAAGCCAGCCGAGACCTTTGCGAGACGGACTCAATTCTTTTTGGCGCTGCACTGGCAGTCTGCCGTATTATAGGCGCCAAACTTTCTACGGCTAGACGCGTTACTGGACAAAGTAGTGCAATCCCAGCCTGAAGAATAAGAATTGAAGAACGTATCGCAAAGGCTGGGGCCCGCATCGGCAGACTGATATGCTTAAGGTCAGGCAACACCAGACCAAGGATTGTGCGCACCGTCAGGATGGCGTTTGCTGGGATAAATGTTAGTTTGTCCCAGCCGGATATAATGCAAAAACTGACGGAGCGCATAGACGACCTGAAGCAGAGAATCGCTGCTTGGGGAAAGCGTATTCGGCGATATAACGAGAGGTCGACACGGTTCAACCAGAATCGTCTCTTCCAGAGTGATCAGAAGAAGAGGCTCTATAAATCATTGGAGCGACCAATGGTAAGTGGAACGGGCCCAGCACCGAATCAGATCGACACTGTCGCATTCTGGCGCAGCCTGTGGTCAGAGCCCGTAAACCACAGTGAGGGCCCTTGGGCGGAAGTTGTGGAGAGTCAGTGTGCGGGTATTACGACCATGGACACCGTCATCATAACGCCGGATGACGTAGCTGAGGCGGTCCGTAGGGCCCAGAACTGGAAAAGTCTGGGGCTTGACGGGCTGCATCACTACTGGCTGAAGGGGTTCATGGTGTGTCACGCTGTGCTCGCCCGACAGTTTCAAGAGGCTCTCATTGAAGTCGCTCCCAAGCCTCTTCACTACTGGGATCACTCATTTGGTTTCTAAAGACCAGGGTAATACAGACCCGAGCAAATACCGCCCCATCACGTGTCTGCCGACCATATACAAGACAATAACGTCCATTTTGTGCGCAAGAATGACTCGTCACCTGGACTCAAATCAGGTGATGTCGCACGCTCAAAATGGATGTCGGGGTGGCGGTCGTGGAACCAAGGAACCACTCCTCATTGACGCGGTCATTGGCAAAGTGGTGAAACGCAACCGTTGGAACTTCTCCGCCGCCTGGATAAACTACAGAAAGGCATTTGACTCGGTGCCCCATACATGGCTAAAGAGAGTCCTAGAGCTGTACAAGATTGACTGTACAGTTCGAGACTTCCTCGAGCAGTGTATGGGGCAGTGGAGTACGATCCTCTGTCATCTAGGTGAGTGGATGACGACTGCGGAAAGCCGCATAAGGATAAGAAGGGGTATATTCCAGGGCGACTGTCTGAGTCCAATCTGGTTCTGCATCTCTTTGAACCCTCTCAGTACCTTACTGGAGGGCTCCGGGAGAGGATTTCAGCTACGGAAAGGAGGGACAAAAGTGACCCACATTTTCTATATGGATGACCTCAAGTTATTCACCTCCAGTCGCTCCCATCTTATGGAATCGCTAAGCATCACTTGTAAATTTAGCAATCCTATTGGAATGGAGCTGGGGGCAGATAAGTGTGCGGTCCTCCATGTTGAAAGGGGAAGGGTTTCTAACTCTGAAGGCATAGACTTATCTATACCTGTCAACTTAAAGACCCTTTCCGAGGCTGAAACATACCGATACCTGGGTATGTCACAGAACATCGGTATCGATGAGGCTGGTATGAAACAGTCAGTTTGCGACATGCTATATACACGCTTGACCAAAGTGCTCAACAGCCTTTTGTCCGGTGTGAATAAGGTTATATGTGTGTGATAACGGCTGGTTCATGCCTGTCCTCGTGTATACCTTTGGCATACTCAGGTGGACTCAGACTGAACTTAACGCCCTGGATAGAAAAGTCCGCACTACCATGATGTCCTATAGGATGCATCATCCGAGATCGTCGGTAATGAGGCTGTATTTGCCGCGGTGAGCGTGGCTTCCTGAGCACGCTCACCATGCATAATCGCGAAGTAGCCTCCGTGATCGACGTCTCCGTGGCGCAGTGGCTTAGCAATGAGCGGCTGCGCTGGGGGTCGCGGGTTCGAATCCCGCACGGAACAAGTATTTGTATGGCCTATAAATAATTGTTCCGGGTCTGGATGTTTGTTCTTGTGCAATCTATGTTTGTAAACTGCCCCCGCGATACAGGAGAAAATCCTAGTGTAGGGGTAACGTTTTTTAAAAAAGATAAAAAAAAGATTACTTCCTGGCGAGATCGGATGATCCATTCTATAATGACGTCATTTCTAATGATAAAGGGCTTACCCCTCTATACTTAGCCAACGAGCAATGGCAGGACCCGGCAATACAAAGCATTTCCGACCGGGAGACCGTATGGAAGGAGAAGGAGCTCCACGGGAGGTACTACAGGGCTCTGCATGAGACCCGTTCATAGATACAGTCGCCTCCCTCAACTGGCTACGTTTCGGTAACCTTTTCGGGGAAACCGAGTGTTTTGTCTGTGCAATACAGGATCAGGTTATTAAGACCAACAACTATCGGAGATACATCCTAAAGGATGTCACTGTCGACGGCTGTCGAGCTTGTCGCCATCCCGGTGAGTCACTTAGGCATGTCATGTCCGGTTGTTCGGCGCTTTCTAACTCTGAGTACTTGCACAGGCACAACCTAGTAGCCAGAATTCTACACCAGGAGCTCGCTCTGAAATACGGTCTCATGGACCGGAAATTGCCTTATTACAAGTACTTGCCGGAAGCCGTGCTCGAAAATGACCGCGCCAGGCTCTACTGGGACCGGACCATCATCACAGACAGGACTATTCTTGCGAATAAGCCTGATATTGTGCTGATGGACCGGGCACAGTCAAGGATATTTTTGGTCGACATTACCATTCCGTACGACGAGAACCTCGTGAAAGCCGAAACATATAAACAAACAAAATATCTGGACCTGGCTCACGAGGTGAACGACATGTGGGGTGGTCTGCCGGCCGAAATTATTCCTGTAGTCGTCTCTGCTAATCCCAGTCAGCCTCTCGGGTCATCTGAGACGACTGGGACTCCGTGACAGACCGCTCCGGGCTCAGATGCAGAAGGCGGTGCTCCTCGATACCACCCGCATCGTCCGCCGGTTTCTTTCCCTTACCCCTAACCCTCGGCCGTTTGGTCTCCCCTGCCTTCAGTTATCTTACATTCCGTGCACAATGCAGACTCTAAACATAGTTCAAGAAAAAAATAAACAAAGTGTGTATGCATGCGTGCATGTGCGTGCGTGTACGCCCACAGCGTGTGTGTGTGTGTGTGTGTGTGTGTGTGTGTGTGTGTGTGTGTGTGTGTGCGTGTGTGTGTGTGCGTGTGTCTGTTTTTGTTAAAATATGTGCTTAAAGTAGATTTTCACAATTTTTATAGTCGTATTCTTTTAGCCAATTTAAAATAGTTTGTTTAATTTGGTGTCGTTTTAAGTTCTTTAATTTAATTTTTTTATTAATAGCATTGTATAAATGAGGTGCTTGGTAGTCATATTGCCTTTTTGCTAAAGCGCTTTTGACAAATGGTACTGGACAAATTTGTGTTCTTTTGTTTCTATCTACATACATGGGTCAAATATTATGATATCGTTTAATGCATTGGTATATATACGATTTTCGTACACTTAGGACATTTGCCAATTCACATACTTTAGATGTTGGGTATGTATAAGGAAGATTATTAGACTAGTTTTAATATAGATCTTTGAGCTCTCTCGGCCTCTATAAGATATATTTTGGGAGCTCCACCCCATGAGCAGATACAATAGTTTATGAGACAATGACAAATGGCGTTATATGTCTCGATTAGCAGCTTTTTTGTCGCTACAGTTCTTAGGTTCTTAAATACTATAGTGAGTCTCCAAATTCGTTTAGATACATTTGCTATATGAGGTTGCCAATTTAATCCTTCGTCGAGGATTACTCTAAGATATTTTATCGTAGATGCTTGTTCTAATATTGTACATTTACATCTCTCCTTTTTTTGGGACGTATTACACGTGTACGTATGCATGGTGACAGAAAATCTGTGTGGTGGTCTTGAGATTATAGTTTTATTAAAGCAGATTTTTTTTTTGTACCATTGACGGTTAAAGATTATTTTCCAGCCATTTTGTGACCGTACGTAATCCATTTTCAGCACAATGTTGCACAGTATCCCAGTCTGTACCATGAAAGAGGATTACAGTATCGTCCGCAAACATAAAAAGGTCCGCACTATCGATGTTAATTTTACACAATTCATTTATGTACATCAAAAATAGTGTTGGTCCAAGAGAGTTTTATCGCTTAGCTTGTCATCAACACGTAATATTTGGGTTCTGTTTATGAGGTAGTTACAAAAACATGCATACGGCATACCTCTTATACCTAGATTTTCAAGACGTCCGAGAAGTATAGGAATAGACACAGTATCGAACGCTTTTTTGCGAATCTAAGAAAACACATATGCATTTATCACCTTTATCTACATAAGATGTTATTTTAGAAGTCAGTTGTAAAACTGCGTCTTTTGTTGAACGATGTGCCCGTAGCGCTCTAGATATTTTGTCAATATTTTATTCACGAGCTTCTCAAATATTTTTGAGAAAGTAGGTAACAATGAAATCGGCCTGCAATTTGAAGGAGCGGTCTTATTACCAGATTTGAATATTGCTGTTACTAAGGTCTGTTTGAAGGATGACGGAAATTGCCTTGTTTGAAAACTAATATTACATAGATGTGCTATAGGTGCGCAAAGAACTGACTACCCTTTAACGAAATTGACAGCAATTTTGTCCCAGCCAGGGGAACTATTTGATTTAAGTTCGTTAATATTAGTTTTTACTTTCTCAGAATCTGTTAGGAAAAACGCCATCGAATGTGTTGGACCTGTCTGTTTGACATTATTAGCAAGTTCTGGAACTGATTTTCCTATGGTGTTCAGAGTATAATTTGCAAGCTGTGAACCAATTGTAGTGAAATAGGTGTTTACTAGACTAAGTGAAGCTTTTGAAGTATCTTTAATTATTAATAATTCTGTCGTTTGTTTGGATTTGCTAAAATTACAAATTTCTTTAATTATCTTCCATGTCTTTCTAACGTTTCCAGTACTGGTATGATGTTCGTGTTTGTAATACTGTCTTTTTAAGTTTCTTATTATGTTATTACATGTGTTTCTGTATTTTCTATAGTGTATCACACTAAATATCACATAAAAATAAATCTGCATTAGTGTTATCATTTTTTAATTGTTTTGTAATTTGTCCCTCTTTATTATTGATCTAACAACTCCCGGTGTTATCCAAGGTTTTAATGGCATATTTCTTTTAGAAAGAGTTATTCTAATTGTATAAGCTTGTATTAAATCTTTTATAATATATACTGAATAGATAAGAATGACTTGACAAGCTTATACACCTTAGCTCGTTTACTTGGTCAATCTCATTAATTACAGTTTCACAAGGAAGATTAAATATTAAAAGTTTTTTATGACTTATTCTCTGTGATATTTGGAAATATTCTTTCATATATGGCATACATTGACATATTATTTTGATTGCGTTGTAATAAGTAATAATTTTTTTAACAGACGTGTATATGTGAGTAAAATAACGTGTATTTGAGTTGTTTTTCGGAAGAAAGTTACTATGTGTAATTGTGGTTTTTTTGTAAGTTATTGTATGAGTTATGTGTCTGTGTATGTTTTTATTGTGTTGTATATGTTACTTATGGCTAACAGAAACATTACATAATAAGAGTAAGCATACAACTAAGTTCGGTAAGAATAATGAAATAGAAAATTATATTTACGTCGATAGTGTAAATCTAGTCATTTTTTCGTTTTTAATTTTAGAAAATCTGATTTCGTTTCTACACGTATTGTTGGCGAGCCCT